TATTATTATTATTATTATTATTATTATTATTATTATTATTATTATTATTGTTATTATTGTTATTATTGTTATTATTATTGTTATTATTATTGTTATTCTTATTCTTATTATTATTATTATTATTATTATTATTATTATTATTATTATTATTATTATTATTATTATTATTATTATTATTATTATTATTATTATTATTATTATTATTATTATTATTATTAGGAGTGAGTTTGAATTGAAGATATGTAGAGAAAATAGTATATGAATTGCAAATATGATGATATAATGATATAATGATAATCCTCACTTTTGAAAATGAAAAGAGTACTATAGGACTAAACTTGGCACTAATCCGGCCTCATAATTGTTATTTGACTCGGAAAACAACATTATAACATCGTCCCTATTCCTTATAATTGTTATTTGACTTGGTAAATAACATTATAACATTACTGCTCTCAAACTAGGTCCAAGAAAAAAAATAGTCTTTCTTATTTCTTTCTACATTTTTATAAATATCTCTATCTTCAAAAATTTTGTAAAAATATTTGTTCGGTGACCAACTCTTTAATTTTGTAAAAACAATAGTCGGTGCATCTTGCTTATATTATAAAAACTTCAAAATTTTACTCACCCAAATTTGTATCACTATATTATTGGTGTGTTGATATTTTAGGGCTATCATCCACTTTAAGTCCCCATCTTTGTTTTGTGTTATTTTGTGATGGATACAAAGCCAACGATATACCTTTAGTGAGAGGAAGTGAGACATTACATTGATACTAAAACTAAAAGATTGCACCTTTTATATATCCTCCCCCAATCATTATTGCTTTATTGTGACACTAGACCCTTTGGGCATTATACCCTTGATGCCCCTAGATTGATTCAACTAGTCAATTATCATTCAAGAAATATTTAAAACCTCTGGTGCCACTATGGCCACAAAAAGTAGTAAAAAAAAAAATAAAAAAAAAATAATAATAATAATAAAAAAGGGAGGGGATTATACCATGGACCAGGGCTACTAGGGGTGACCACGGTTCGGTTCTGGTTCCGTGGATGGCGAAACCGGAACCGGAACCTTATAGTAAGGTTCCGGTTCAGAACTGACGGTTCCGGTTGGAACCGCCGGTTCTAACTGGAATTATTAAAAAAAATAAAAAAAACACTATAATATTTATTTTTTTCCGGTTTGGAACCGGAATCGGCGGTTCCGGTTCCAAGATTTTACAAACCTTAACCGGAACCGAAACCGTACGGACGGTTCCGGTTCGGTTCCGGTTCGCACAGTCACGGTCCCGGTTCGAACCTTCGGTTCGAACCGGAACCGTGGTCATCTCTAGGGTCTACCTTGTATAGAAAACTCGGATAAAAATGACATTCAGATTATTTGTCTGCACTTAATAGATTATGTGCTTGTAAATAAATTTAAGGCACATAATATATTAACTACAATTTATTTACAGGCCAGGCACATAATATTTATTAATGGAAGACACAAAATATGTTAACTACATGCACATAATTTTTTGATCAAGGTCCACAATGCAAAGTAGTGGACCCTACTCCATGGTATAACAATTAGGGGTGGGGGGGGGGGGGGTGGGGGCAGGGGGGATTTACTGTGGACCATGATCCAAAACGGTGTTGTTTCTTTTAATGAAAAGAAACGACACCCGTTATGTCCAACTAATCCTCTTTTTATGACGTATTCAGTTTCTTTTTATTTACATTGTAGTTTTATTACAGCACAACTAAAGTACCATTTTAATTCAACTACAATTTCATTTGGCAATATACACTCAATCTGTGATACTTTATTCAGTTTCATTTTATACACATTGTAGTTTTATTACAGCTCCACTAAAGTATCATTCTAATGCATCTTCAGTTTATTTGACAATATACATTCAATATATAATAAATGTTATTCAATTTTACAATGTAATTTCATACTTTCATTATGTATCAACTAAAGTATCATTCTAATTCAACTACATTTAGCACAACAAAAGGATCATTCTAATTCAACTACATTTTTAATTGACAATATACATTCAATATGTGAGAGCAATTATTCAGTTTCATTTTATACACGCTGTAATTTTATTACAGCACAATCGTACCAAAATATCATTCTAATTCCACTACAGTTTCATTTGACAATACATACTCAATATGTGAGAGACTTGTTATTCAATTTTAATTTATTTTAGATATGACTGTAGTTAGTTTTATTTTATTCTAAGCACATAATAAATGCGAGACTAGTTAAGTGTAATGGTCACTATTTCTTTTCACTAAATAAAACGATATAGTTTTTGACCATGGTGCATTGTATAACGATTGGGTGGGGGAGGGGTAGGGGACAATTAATATGAGTAGAGTCTATTGGGTGGGGACGGGGAGGGGACAATTAATATGAGTAGAAAGACTCTGGTGCCACTATGCCCACAAAAGTTTTGAGTAACGGAAGGAGGGTGACAATTTTGGAAGAAACCATATTTTATCCTTTTTCTTTATAATTCTTTGATCAATTTGCCTGAAACTGTTCCAAATACAATTATGAATTATACTATATGGGCTAACCCGTTTTGTGACCCCATGGTTCATAGATGTTCCGTCACTAAGATGTAACAAGTGATCTCCGTGGTTGGTTGGTTTGTGAGGTTGAGTGGTGGACATATGGCGCAGGTTCGGTTCTCACATCAATTGGGAGTTCTTTTGGATCTCCCTCCCTTAGGTGGACGATTTTTGCTACTGCATTATCATTTTTAATTTATGGATGAGCTATTAGTTTGAAAGGTAAATGTGGTGTAGTGGTAAAGAGTGTTGTATTGGGGATTCCAGCCTGGGTTCAAGTTCTTGCACAGAGTTGATGAATGTTTTCATGAGATTATTTGGATTTTCTACTTGTGACATATACGGTTAAATTATCTTAAGATAGAATGGATTTAAAGCTTCAAGCTAGCATGGCGAGAGAGATCTAGACTGGTTAGTGGGTGACTTGGGTTCGAGTCTTTATGGAGTTTTATTTTTACATTCAGATCTAAAGAGACCATTGTGCACGGGATCGGACTTGGTTTTATGGTGCTTTCCTCATGGCGTACTAGTTAGGCTTAGCTTATTTTAATTAATTTTGCTTAGTCTAATTTGTATTAGCCGCGATGTTATTCCAGTTTTCTTGTGTCTAGTTAATATTTATGTTTTTGGTGTAATCAGGGGTATGCCCCGGTGTCACATGTATTGGACTTTTCATTTATATTTACATCTCCCGATTTGATGAATTATACTATAAATTCCTAAACCACTCCTTCATGATGTGGCACAATCTTACATAATAGAATTAAAATTAAAAAAAAAAATATCAAGCACATTGTGCTCAGTTGACATCTCTGTGACTCTCTTTGAGTGAAGGTCAACAGATCAAATTCTTCCGGAAGTATGAGAGTACTCCGAAAAAGAAAAATTAATACCTAAAATTTTGCCACATCATATATAAAGTGGTTGGTTTGTGAGTGATAAAATTAAAGGTAATTATAATTTTCCTATCATTATTCGTTTTAGTTATGATAAGTAACACCGAAAATAACAGCATTATTGAAAACTTCTTTACATTCTTCCAAAAGGCTGAACCCCAACCCTAAAGGCCCCCCACACTCCGACCCGATAGAGCATTTGGGAGGATGTAAATTATGGTAACTCAACTGAACATGAACCACAGAGGCTAGACCTGTGCTCACTGCGCACAAAGAACCCCGTCACTTTGAGAGGTTACTCCCACACTGCCGCTGGTGAGACTCGATCCCTGAACTTCTTTACATTTGTGTGTGATTGTGTGACTATGTGAGTCTTAGCATTGATGCTTAACTAAACGATAGCAAAAAAAAAAAAAAAAAAAAAAAAACCTTTGCTTCGAGAGTGTTCTTCTATAGTACACCTATTAAACTTGAAACTAAATTTAATCATCATAACATGCTCTACCAAAAACTATTTTCACCGACTAGCAAGCCAAAATCAATTTCATCACCACCACACAAAATAAAAGAAAAATGAATTAAAGAACAAGAAATCAGTGAAAATAGATGGAAGCTAAGTACGAAATTTATTAAAGAATGACAGATCAATTACCCCAAAACAAAGGCAAACAATATTATAATCGTTTTTGGTTTGGGATCATTTGCTGTAAACCATACGAAAGTCAAATCAAAGTATTAAATCTTGGTAGATTGGAAAACCACGAACTCAACTACCCCCAACCTCGTGGCCCGACACTCCATTAATGTGCTGTGACTCTACGTACTAATGTGAAGACCTTCACTCCAATCATAAATGTGTACACCATCATATCAAATAATATAAATTCAGTACACAAATAATATATTACGAAACACAAGACAGATACACATATACATGTTATATTCACTTATTTTTCAATTCGATTTAGGGGGATAACTTATGTTTTATACGCACATAATTTCACAATACAAGGTATAAATTCCTAAATAATAAGACACAATATGTTTTGTGTTACACGACTACTAATTTGTTCCGGATACAGAACTCATACTCTTAAGTTACAGAATTACGTAATATAAGACACAGAAACTAACGCATATATATGCTTTACAGTAAAAAAAAAAAACATGAATTAACATAAGACACAGACGCATATATATGCTTTACAGTAAAAGAAAAAGCATGAATTAACATAAGACACAGAAATTGACGCATATATATGCTTTACAGTAAAAGAAAAAACATGAATTAACATAAGACACAGAAACTGATGCATATATATGCTTTACAGTAAAAGAAAAAACATGAATTGAATAACAAACACTCATCGTCAAAATTAAAATTCAAAACTATGTCGTTTAAAATCAGGATTTACAATGCACTGTAGACCCTGATCCACGGGATAACGATTGCCATTAATGAGATGTGACTCTACGTACTAATGTGAACACCTTCACTCCCCCTATAAATACACGCAACATTTCCTCAGTTTTCTTCATCCTTCAACTATCAAATCTTACATAGTAAACCGTTTTAAGAAATGGCTTCAAAGGTTCTTGTTCTCCTCGGCCTCTCTTTGGCCGTGTTTCTCATGATAGCTTCCGAGGTTACAGCCAGGGAATTGGCTGAGACTACTACTACTTCATTTGATCGTAAGTTTATAATCATAGCTCATATATATATACTCCAACTTAAACTTTATATATAATGACACATTGAAACTTTCTATTATGATCCTGTTTGGTAAAATGACTGTTAGCTGATATAGCTGTTAGTTGTTAACTGATTGTGTTAATTAGAGGGTATAAATAGTTGATAATTAGCTGATTATACAAAAATGTTTGGTAAATTAGCTGTTAGCTGTTTGGTATAATTTCTTTTCTCAAAAAGTTAATTGAAAAAGTTGTTTGGGGTAGCTTTTTCAATTTTAACATTTTGGAGTTGCAAAAAACTAATTAACCAAACATTTATATTAATATTTTAACTAAATCAAACAATTAATAGTGGTCAAATAAGTCAAAATTAACCTATAGACTAATTTTTTTACCAAATAGGGCCTATATGTTCTTGATTATTTGTAATAATTAATTTACTTATGCATGCATATATACTTTAAGCTGCATTTATACTCATACTGACATATATACTGTCAACTTGATATATATATATATATATATATATATATATATATATATATATATATATATAATGGAGGTGGGAGAGGGTGCCCCTTGCCCCCCACTGGATTCGCCCTGTTTAGATTTTGTTGTCTTTTTCCAACATTTTGTACTTTAAAATTTTGGAGGTTTAATATTAGTTTAGTCTAAGTTGTGAAATCGAATATTATATCAAAAAAAAATTGTTTAGCTAATCATAGGAATCTATATATACAGCGACGAAAGCTGAGAAGGCAAATGGGGTTGCCGGAGATGACAAGCACTACGGTGGAGGGAACGACGGATATGGCCACGGAGGCGGCGGCTATGGACACGGCGGTGGAGGCTACGGACACGGCGGTGGCGGCTATGGCCACGGTGGTGGCGGGTATGGTCACGGTGGTGGCGGGTATGGACACGGCGGAGGTGGGTATGGACACGGCGGTGGAGGCTATGGACACGGCGGTGGAGGCTATGGCCACGGTGGCGGTGGGTATGGTCACGGTGGTCACGGTGGTGGAGGATGCCAATACGGTTGCTGCGGCCACGGCAACTATGGGTGCCAAAGGTGCTGCTCATACAAGGGGGAGAAGGCCGTGGATGAAGCAAAGCCCTAAGCATTAAAGCTTGAATTTCCATTGTTTACGCTGCACGTACTATACTCCTTATTACATGCATATAAAAAATTTGGCAACTAATTTAATCTGTAATAATATTGTATTGAAGTAGCACTTCCAGTTACTTCTCTGCAACATCTTTATGATAAATAAAATAATTGGTTGTCATATAATTGGTTCTGTTTCTTTCTTCTATGCACTATTAGCTTTTTACTTTGGTTAAACAATTAATATGAGTATTTGATTAATTAAATTTTTTTAATAATTTATTGTCTCAAAATACTAAAATTAAAAAATTGCACAAAATAATTTTTTGAATTAGCCTTTTAATTTGAAAAAGTATTTTTGCATGTAATCAGCTATCAACTAACAACTAATTTACTAAACATTTTTCTATAATAACAAATGCTATCAATTAGATAAACTCACTAACTCAATCAGCTAACCGCTATTTGCTAATATCAATTTACCAAACAACCCCTTTATTTTCCTCTCTTGCATGCATTTATTTCTTCCCTGTTTGGGTGTCAGACAAAATTAGCATAATACATTGACAAGTGGATAAAGACATTATTTTTAGTAAGTTTCATTCATAATTTAGGTGGCATCAAAATAAATTTTATCATGCACTCAAAAGGGTTAGGGAAAGGCCAAGGACTTTATCCAATGACATCAAGTTACTCCCTTATAAGTGAGGTTGTGAGATCAAGTCTCTGTAGAAACAATATTGACTTACGAACACAGTAGTATTCAAAAAAAAAATGGTTAGGGAAAGACGTTCGGAAAGATTTTACATAAATCTCTGTCTTGAAAAATATGTAAATTTGGACGAATATAAATATATTTTTACTTTTTAATTAAATAGTTTAATTTGAAAAATGTTTTTTTTTTTAAATAAAAATTATGTTGCCTCCATAATAATGATCAACACTTCTCAACATACGTATCATTTAAAAATGTCACAGAAAATATTTTTATTGAAAGATAAATGGGTATTCAAGAAGGAGTGGGTGAACAAAATAACTATACGTGTCAATTTTAGTAATAAAAAGGTTGCAACTTATTTATTTTTGCAATACATGCTCTCCTTTAAAAATGAATCTCATTATCATATATATAAGTATATTTATAAGTTATTCACTATATTTTTAGTCCATACAATATAATTTTAACTCAGTAGTACTATTACTATATTATAATAATAATAATAATAATAATAATAATAATAATAATAATAATAATAATAATAATAATAATAATAATAATAATAAGGTGCCATGTCATATTGAAAATACTACTAATAAATTAAAGATGATACTAGTACTCCTTCAATAGGGGTGAAGTTTGGGAACAATGACCCGAGGTCGAGTCTCACCAGCGGTAGTGTGGGAGCAATCTCTCAAAGTGAGGGGCTCCTTGTGCGCAATAAACAAAAGTCTAACCCATGTATTTAGCTGAGTTACCATAATTTACATTCTCCCAAATGCTCTGCCAGGAAGTGAGGGCCCTTAGGATTGGGGATTCAACCTTTTGGGAACAACTAGTACTCCTTAAATAAGTAGCTATCATGGCAAGAAGAGCAGAAGACTGAAATAAACTTAAATTTAGGATGTTAAGAAATGGTATGGTTATACGGTCTATTAATCTATTATATTTCTTACAAAGATGATACTTTTGTTCAATTTGTAACAAAATTGATCTCTATAGTGAATACACCACACCATTGGATGCGGCAAATTATACCATGGGATAAGATTCACCTGAAGCGCTCACCCGCACTAGAACCGATATATATATATATATATATATATATATATATATATATATATATATATATATATATGGGAAGGGATCAGGTGCATTTGTGGCTTCCCGTGCGGATGTGCGGTGGATTAATGTGCGTGAGGTTTATACTTAATGTGCGTGAGATTTGTACTCAATGTGTCTGAGATTTGTACTTAATGTGCGTCATGTTAATATGCGTGAGTTTTGTACTTAATGTGTCTGAGTATTGTGTTTAATGTGCGTGAGATTTGTGCTTAATATGCGTGAGTATTTCATAATTACAAGCTCAAAAGAACAGAAACTCACTCACATTAACGCCCAAGCTTCTTGTCACTTCTTCCTTCAATTTGGCCATGTATTCTGGATTATCAGCTACCTTCAGTGCAGTTGAATTTTTATATAGATGATGCACGCACAGTAAAATTTGCACAACAGCTAAATGTGGATTTCTGTTGTATTATTCCCATAATTCTTAACCACCATTGCCAGCCTCCGCATCATCATCATCAGGGAGGGGGCAATGGCTACTGGGATGTGGAAGAAGCTAACATCAATATTTTCTGCTGTATTTTACACATTCACGCACATTAAGTACAAATCTCAAGCACATTAAGCACAACACTCACGCACATTGAGTACAAATCTCACGCACATTAATCCACCGCACATCCGCACTGGAAGCATACATCCGCAAGGGAACCTTTCACAATATATATATATATATATATATATATATATATATATATATATATATATATATATATATATATATATATATATATATATAAATATGTGTCCAATATTAATACATTATATTAAAATTTTAAATTTATTTAGATTTTAGATATTTAAATTATTCCAAATAATAATAATAATTATGTAAATCATTTTTATAAATTTGATATTTATATTTATGAAATCCTATATATAATAAAGCTATATGGTCTTGTGAAAATTAAATGGTGATAATCAACATTTAATTTTCACAAGACCATAATAATATTGTTGTTAGTTATAATAACAATAACAATAATAATAATAATTATTGAAATAATAATAATGATAATAATTGCAATATATATATATATATATATATATATATATATATATATATATATATATATATATTTATTTATTTATTTATTATATTTATTTATATTTCAATTTCTACTGACAAATTATTGTGTGAAGGATTGTCCACATAATTGTATAGATCATGAATATCAAATACATTATTAATATATTAAAAATACATTATTTTTATATTGAAAGTACTTTACATACATATATAATGTACCCTTAGTATATTTAAAATATACTTTTTATTGCATGCAACCTCAAAGTTCATAAGTTTGAAATTACTATATGGCATAGCTAGGCGGCCTAATATTTAAGATTGTTGATGTGCATATTGAGGACTACGGAGACAAAGATGCGTTATTCATGGATTCATCGGATACTATCCAACAACACTTTCCAACTTAATTGACGTGAAGTAGACTTAGTAACATTAAGATTATATTCTCGAATTTTTAGTTCTCATCTTTTATTGATTACACACTTAATTCGATAGTATTTGGAAGAAAAAATCAATGTTTGAACTAAGATTGTGATTTTGGTCTTTAAAGGTCAATTGTATGTTGCTATATCTAGAGTTAGAAATCTCAAAGGTCTAAAAATTGTGATCCGTGGTGACTCTAAAATTGTAATTCAATTACTATTGTAGTTTACTAAGTTCTTAAAAATTTGTAATATTAAATACTATGTACTAAATTTTTAATATAGTTTAAGATTTGTAGTAATCACCCACCTTAAATATTATTTTAATTGTAAATATATTTATGTTCATAATTGTATCATAGGAATTCACACATAATAATTATTAAATAACAAAAATTTTATATATAAATAAACCTCATATAGGGTATATTTTTATAACATATTTTCCGTGCATCGCACGGGACAAATACTAGTAATTAACATATAACTCAAATATTTAATGTGTATATATTATTATTAATGAAGAAGATAAGAAAATATATGGTGGATGCATGTGCATGGTAACAATAGTGGAAAAGATAACGGAAGTTATAACGGTAGGGGTATGTTTGACTAAAATATTTTAATGTACAACCTTTATAGCATAGTGTACAAAAAAACTTAACAAAAAAAAACGGACATTCATCCGCACTGGAAGCATTTATCCGCACGGGAACCTTTCACAGTATATATATATATATATATATATATATATATATATATATATATATATATAGAGTGAGGATCAAGTGAGGACATAACCTTAGTTGAGGACGTGAGGACTAATCTAGACCATTAAATTAGAATAAAGCACGGCTGAGATTAAAATGAACAAATCCATTTAAAATATTAAAAAATATAAATTATGGGTAAATTAGTGTTATTAGAGTCTATGCATTACTATACAAAATATCATGCATTCTATACAAGAGTGTTGTGCATCAATAAATCTATAGTTGTGCATTCAAACACCACAAAAAAATCCTACCGTGGACATCTCAATGTCATACGATGCACTGAACTATGTTCACTAATGCACAACTCACCAGCCTACGGTGCACAACTTACAACACTTGGTTGCACAACCAACACACACGAATGCACAATTGTACTACCCAGGCATTTGTACATATACACGACCATCCAATTATAGGCAATATTATACTCAAAAGAACGAGCAAAAAAATAAATAAAAAATACTAATTACATTGCATGGACGAACACTCAATCAATGATGAAGAAATCGCGGCTCCAAATCGCAACGGTGATGATCCAAAAAAATAGGAAACCAATTAAGCCAAGGATTACACATGCATTCACACTTAAAAAATAGAAAAAGACACTACTACCAGACTTTAACAAAAAAATCAATCCATGCCATCTTAGAAAATAAAATCTAGACCATCAAAATAAAAAACGAACGCACAAGATTAGTCCCCACGTCCACACCTATGAATGAGTCCTCATTTGATCCTTAATATATATATATATATATATATATATATATATATATATATATATATATATATATATATATATATATATATATATATATATATATATATATATATATATATATATATATATATATATATAAGCGCTCATATGTGGTCATGTCATTAGGTGTGGTCGTGTGGTCGTATCTGTGTCGTTGAATCAGTTTAATCTAACGGCAGTGGTAATTCTGAGAATTTTCGCGCGTTTTGGTAAGTGGGGGTGTTATGGTAATTACAGTGACCATTTTATAGCGGGCGGGTTCCAGAATACACCAACAGTGTTGACAACATACACCAATAGTGTAATAAAACACACCACAGTGAAACACACCAATGGTGTATTTCCATGTTAT